GTATATTTCTGTATAACTAAAAATACATACTATAACTAACAGAAGAAACGGAAATCCAAACGCTATAGATGAGATGTTTGGTAAACTTCTACTACTACTACTTTTTTTTAAAGTTCTTAGAACAGCATAAACTACTTTTTACATTTTTTTACTGTTTATATTAAATAACAATGGAAACCAATACAAGATTTTTCTGCATTTTTACTATCAGAAAAAATTTTGTTGTGCTGTGCATAATGACAATAAAGATTCCTGACTTGACTTGAAATTGAAACAGATGTATAACAGTGTGCATTAAGAGGACAAGAGTAATACATAAAAACATAATATAACAAAGTGAAAACGAATAACAGAACCAAACAAGTGAGAACAAAGGAAAAAAAAATACAATATTAAGTTACTATTACAATATTATTCTGATATAAAATTAAAACGTTTGAGGAGGTCAATGGTTTTGGTTCGTTTTTTGTTAGGGTGGTTTAATTGTGACAGTGTTTGGAAGTGATTGTTAAGATTAGATTGTTTAAAAGTTAAAAAGGATGGTGATTTTTTTTTCTCAGAAATTTCATTTTATGGATGAAGAATTTGGCAAAAATAATGAACAGATTAATAACAAATTTTTCATTGTTAGAGAAATGGGGCTTGTTAAAAATTAATAATATATCATATTCTTTAAGTACTGTTAGGTATTTTTGGTCAGATAGATATCGGTTAGATACTTGATGTATTAGGAATGTTTAGTGTAGACAGGATGTCTAGTTAGACTGTTAAATGCTTAGTCATTCTCATGAGTTACTGCAGGTTGCTTATGGTCAAGGATAACTAGATAGAAAGTTGATGACTGTTAGAAGACAGGATGTTTATTATTGTTATTATGACGTGTATAACTGTAGTTATAGCCATAATCTTTTCTTATGTTTAATGTCATGATGTCACTAGAGGTCGTGTTAGAATGTTTTAGCTACACACCACATAATCAACAGAGAATCACACATTGATTTTCTTCATGCTTTGACTTAAATCAGCACTGTTTTGAAGTTACTTGGACTGCTTCGTCTCTCAGAGTTAGCATGGTTAAAAGAACCGGGTACAACAGTACAATTTCCTTACCAAGATAATTTTTGAGATCAAAACAAAAGTTAGTTCAAAATACTGTCACATGTGCACATTGAAAAAAAAAGATGCTCTAGAGTTTATAGCTCATTGTTGCAAAAGGAACATTTTTCTTCTATGTTTTTAATGTATTTACAAATAATAGAGTTTAATGGGTAAAATTTATTAAAGATTTTAAAGAAAAGCTCTTTAGCTTTGTTGGACAAGACAAATTTGAAGGGCAAAGTAAAACAGTGTTCCATGTTCTTCCATCAAGAGTCTGGAATGGTCATTTGTGTTGTGGTGCCTGTTGTTCTTGAAAACAGTGAGTTTACTACTACTACTGCTACTACTACTACTACTACTGCTACTGCTACTGCTACTACTACTTCTCCTTCTTCTTCTTTTCTTCTGTAACGGTGGGCGGCACCCAGCGTTCATTTCCGCCACCTACTATACTGCACCAGAATTATTTATTCCAGTCTTTTAGGAGGGAAACCTGTTCTAAGCGTCACTGTTATTGGACTTTATTTCTATAAAGCGTCCCAAACATACACTTTATGGTCTCAAAGTCTTTCCGCTTAGCATTTGTGCAGACACGATAATTGTCCTCCCCGTTTTCCGGTTGAAACAGGAAGTTGTTTCTTGTTTACATGCTATGGGGTGTTGCTAACTGACGAACAAAAACGCTACGCGTTTTATCCAAAAATGAGAGCTGACAGTTGATTACGTTTGGGTATTAATTACATTTTTAGCTGTATCATCTTTCTGTTGTTCCACGGGGCATGGCTTCAGCCACCTGCTGGTGCTGTCTCTGGGTAACGTTACCGCTCCTGCTGCGGTGGACGCCGGGGCTGCTGGTTGCGGCGGAGCAGGTCGCTCTGGTAGAGGTTTTCCTGGACGAGCCGCCCAGCGTCAGCGCTCTCCTCCAGGGGGAGGTGGTGGAGTCCAGCAAGGGCAGTAAGAGCACCGAGCCTCGGGACGAGGAACGAGAAGAGCTGGAGGGAGACCTGATCCTGGTGAGCCGCAGAGTGGAGGTTGTTTTTTTCAGCGAGGTTTGAGGGTTGTTGTTGGTGACATCAGTGAGGTAAATCAGGGTGAAATTGGCTTAGATGGAGTGCCAGAGGAGCCATCGCCGCAACTAACTATTTTAAAACTCTTTAAAAACATTAATTAGTCTATAATGTCAAATATTAAGTTACCAGAGCCCAAAGTAATGGCATCTTTTTCCAATTAACTATTAAGTATGCAACACTACCACTTAACTATATTAAACTATTATTGCTTTATTGATATAGGTGTGTTGCTAAATAGATCAAATATAAATATATATACACACTTGTCAAACATTTTGGACAACTGTTTCAGCATCACAGTAAATTTACAGTATATTTCTGCATGGGAAATGAGAGGAACTAAACAGGAAGATGTGTTTCAGTGATGTCATCTTGTGCGCTGGAATTTTTATTTTTTATTTTTTTAATTTAAGTTTCTTCCAAGCATGTAAAACTAAGAAAATTGATATTTGCGAAAAACAAAATTGATTAGACATTTCAACAAATACGCATAAGACATCACAACATTCCAATAGTACATGCTTGAAAGGGAGTAGGAAGAAGTATACACTTATCTAGTCCTACCCCCTTTGTTAGAGCGTGGTACCATTAGCCCAACACT